TGGTGGTGTATGCCTCCAGCTACTTGGAATGCTGTTACAGGAGTATCCAAGTTGAGGACAGCCTGGGGAACTTAGCCTCTGTCTCAAAGTAAAAAGGGCTTGGGATGTGGCTCAGTGGTAGAGCATTGTCTATCATGGGTAAACCTCTGAATTCAGTCCAGGAGAGAGGGGGAAGAGGCAGTGTGAAAATAGTTAACACTATATATTCAATGCAGTCATTTTCTATAGGGCAGTAGTTTGAGCTGTTAGCTAGTATGTTTTCTTTTGGGATGTAATACACGTTCAAATTCTTCCATTTCTTTTTCTGTTAAATTTAGGTTAGATGTCAAGAGCAACAACATAACAGCCAAATGGCTATATTATGATTTACTTACAGTTATGGCTTATGTGGTTTCTGTGTTGTGGATTAGGAGCCTTTAGACAAATTCTATAGAATATCTGATTAAAGGAGTTGTGCAAATTAGAATTTTTGAAATCCTTGATGCAAATCAGATTATAGTATTGGAGAAATTCAGTAATTTTGATTTTTTTGCCAGATTTTTTCTTTTATGATTTTTTCCCGAATATTAATAGATCCATCAGAAACAAAGAATCTGGAAATCAGTTAATTCAGATAGTATTTTTAGAGATAATGTCCTTCCATCAAAACCATTCTTACATAAATTTCGCATTGAACCACATGTGAATAATAATTTGATGATACATAAGTAGATGGTTCTTTTATTCTTAAGTTTTTCTGGTTCAATTTTATTTTAAGAATTACTACAGGATAACTTACTTATTATTTAGAATGTTTTTAAGTTAATTTATATGTATTTCACCATAATACTTAACATTTCTATCATAATCCTAAGCGTAATAGGAAAATCATCATTACCTCCTGGGACCAGTGATCGTTTAAAGAAACATTTACCTAAGTAATTTTAAAATATAATTTAGAGGAACTGGGATTATGGCTCAGTGGTAGAGTACTTACTAGCGTACGTGAGGCACTGGGTTCAATCCTTAGTACCACATAAAAATAAATAATTAAAATAAAGGTATTGTGTCCATCTATAACTAAAAATATTAAAAAATAATTTAGAGGAGTTAGAATAAAAGAATAGTATATAACAAGTGTTAGCAATTTTGCCATGCATTTATATTCAGCAACTTTGGATTTTTTAATATTTTTCCTGGTTTTGAAAGTAACTGAAATGGCAGTGTCTTCTGAATGGAACTCAGTGCAACAAGTTTGCTCATTAGTTGTCAGACATTCAAATAAGATCCTAAAAAGTTCTAGCTTATCATTATTTCCTATTCTTATACTTAACAGCAATACTTGAAGACATTTGTTTTGTTGCTGTGCTGGGGGTGGAACTAAGGACTTTGTGCATGTTAGGCAAACGTTCTGTACATCCTCAGCCCTAGACATTTTAAAAATCTTTGGCAGCTCATAATTTTGTTTTAGGATATTTTCTTTTTCTTATTGTTAATGCCAGTTAGGATAATCAGTCCTTTATTTTTTTCGTATCTACATCAGCATATTCCATCAGTTATCTTTGAATACAAATCTACTGTTAGCACTTACCCCTATCAAGTCAAACAGATTGTGCAAATGGCATAAAAGATGAAAGAATTTATTATTACACATCCTTTTAGTTAAATGGAGTTGTTAGGTTCTTGTCTAAAATATTTTTGTGATGAATTACTAAGTTGATAAGAATACCATATGTTCCTTCTGATTTAGAAATGTGTTATTCATCTAGTAGTTCTTGAGTTCTGCAGAATTTATCCTAGGATATCATCATCTAACAATTCATATGAAATGTCTTTTAGATGACCTATTTTCCTATATCATTAAAGTCCAGAGTACTGCTATTTCTTCGCTTTCATCTTCTGATTTGTGCATTAATTGTGAAATATCTTTCCTTGACAAGTTTCTTTGCTTTACTATTGTAAGTGGAAAACGAGAAAGCTTAAATATTCATTTTTTTTTTTTTTTTTGTCAATGATAGCTAAAAGCAGACTCCAAAGATGGGGTCTGCATTCTTATTTTATGCTTTCTTGAAAGATGATGCAATATTTTAGGCAATAGAGTTAGAAAATGGAGGAAGGGTTCATTATTATATTTTTCTCCCAAGCATCCCATTCTTTCAAATTCTTATTATTTTAGTCTTTTTAAATATAGTTGGATATAATTGTTGAATGATAATAAAATAATTTCTAGGATGTGAAATAGCAAAATGTTACAAGAGATCACTAAATTCTATAATATATCTTGGATTTATAAAAGCACCCAGTGAATAGATATAGTGTTTACTAGATGGAATGAGTTGTTATTTTTTTTAAACAAGGTGTTTTTGCGGTACTGGGGATTGAAGTCAGTGCTTCAGCACATGTTAGACAAGCTCTTGCTACATCCCTATCTTTTTTTTGGTGGGGGGGGGGGTTACTGAGGAATGAATTTAGGGGCATTTGACCACTGAGTCACATCCCCAATCCTATTTTGTATTTTATTTAGAGACAGGGTCTCACTGAGTTGCGTTGTGCCTTGCTTTTTGCTGAGGCTGGCTTTGAACTCATGATCCTCCTGTCTAGGCCTCCCTAGCCACTGGGATTACAGGTGTGTGCCACTACGCCTGGCAGCTACATCTCCATCTTTAAGTGAGTTTTTCCTCGTCTTTTGAAGTCCATTAAGAGGAATAGAATAGCAGTAAGAAGGGATAAAATATCAATCATTAAAATTTTTAGAACTACATGAAAAGGAAACTCATAACTTAAAACTGGGTCCATTGGATCTTAACTGAGTTAAGGATTCTGTGGATCTTTATTGATTTATATATTTATCAGCCTCATATTGTCCACTGTTTGATATTCTATGAACTTACAGTGTTCTTTTAAAATATCAAGAATAAAAAATATAATTACAAATCATAAGTTTAACTTATATTTTCTCCCAAATATTTATTTTAAAAAGATTTGATTTTTATGACGTAGCTTGCTTTTAAGTCATGTTTAATTTTAGAATTTGCTTACAATTACTTTTGGAAATGGCAGGGAACAGGTGAAACAACATTGGATTTCTACTCAGTTTATGACATCTCAGGTGTACTTTATCTTATAGACCACCTATGTAATTTACTTACAGGTATTTCTGTATTAATTCTATTTGTAGCGCTATTGAAAATTGGGTAAGAAGAATACGTCACTTTTGAAATTTTAAGTCTTTATTATGAATGTCAAATAAATTTTATTAAGTGCCCATATTCATATTTTTTTCTTTTTTAAACAGATTTTTTCCATCCATCTATCTACTTATTTATTTATTTGTTGTTGATGGACATTTATCTATCTATTTATTTATTTATTTATGGTGCTGAGTACTGAGAATAGAACCCAGTGCCTCACATATGCTAGGCAAGCGCTCTACCACTGAGCTACAACTCCAGCCCCACATTCATTCTTAACTCTTTGCAGCCACCTGAGACATGCTTAAGAAAAAAAAAAAAAAAATAGATTGAATACTTACTTACAAAGGGTCTATTTTGTAAACATGCAGTCCATTATTTAAAGCTTGTTTTTTTTTTCTTCCAATTTTTAAGTTTTTGGTACTATTAGGGATGAAACCCAGGGCTTGATGTATGCTGGCTAGTTGCTTTACCACTGAGCTACTTCCCCAACCTTTGTACAATTTTAATAGTTCAAAGGGAATAATCAGAATTTGATAGACTCTATAACTTGTCTGTTGTGCAGTATTTTGGGTGTTTTGATTTTATTTTTTGGCAGATACAACATTTTTGCTGGTTTCAGTTTTCTTTAGTATTTTCTGATTGTCAAGGATTAGTGTTAGATGCTAACTTTTGGATAAAGAGCGGTTGTAAGGTTTAAAGGAATAACAGAAGTCTAAAACTACCACATTTTTTCCTAATAAATAATTCATTCTAAATTTATTCTATGTAAATATATGATCTCTAGTAACTGATGATTGTTTCATAATTATATAGAAGTAAGCAAACATAAATGACTCTAGCTTTTTTGGGAGAGTTGTGGGGCAGTGCTGGGGATAGATCCTAGGTCCTTAGCACTATACCACTGAGATGCCCATAATATTTGAATGTTGATCATTTACTCATTTAGGGGGAGATTACATATATTTTCAGATTCTTAGCTCATAAATCTAGAAGTAACATATCAGTACTTTATAGAAATAAAACCAGGAAGGTATATAGTTATCTTTTTGCCTTTGTTGGAGTATAATTTAATTCTGATTTACTAATTAAGTTACCTCAGTTTATGCTGATGACTTAAAAAATTTTTGTCCTCTGAAATCTGCCAGGTTTGTAGTATTCACATTTGTCTATTGCAAAGTAATTTGTTTCACTGAATGAGGTTTATATGTTAGGAAACATTCTCTTATTTAGGAAGTCAAAACTTTAGTTTTAAGAAAATGTTAAAATTAAGCTTAAGAAGAATATTCCATGCTTTGGGAAAATGTTGACATTATCATGTGAGAAAAACAGGGTATAGTGTATTTTGTAAAAAATTCTGAATCTATATTTAGATACAAATGCTTAGGTAAAAGACTGGAAATTTTGTGTGCTATACTGTTAATTGGGATAACCATTGAATAGGTGGTTTGCATGCTTCTTGGGTACTTGTATGGGTTCTTAGAGTTTTCTAAAATTTTAAGTTGTAAAACTTTAAAAAATAATTCAACTTGCCCATTATGTACACTGGAATAACAATTTGTTATTACTCTACAGTAACACACAGTGCACACAGTTGGTAAAGAATACCTTCCTGTAATCCTATATGAATATTGAGTTTTATGGGGAAAATTACTTGATGCCTGGAAAGTGTATTGGCCTGTGGCTGTAACTATAAATGTTACCTTCTTGTGGTTGGTCAAAAGCCCATGATATTTGGTGGTAAAAACAAGTTCTGTAAATTTATTTTGGAGTTGTAGTTAACCACTTTACATATTTATTCTCTCTTAAAATATACTCTTTCATTTTTAGGCATTATCCAATTGGTTTGCTATTTGATCTTCTTGCATCAAGTTCAGCTCTTCCTTGGAACATCACAGTACATTTTAAGGTATAGTTTAAATAGCATTTCCCATTTGTCCCACTTGCAATACTTAATAAATAGAGTAGTTTTTTTTAAGTGAAGTTATTTATTGTTTTCCTTATGACACCCTTAGTTGCTAAGCTTCCATTAGTGTTTGCTGTAAAATATTTTTCAATTTCTTCCTAACTTTTGGCTGATCCACTTAAAGTTTTAATGATAAGTAGCCCCCCCTTTTTAAATTAGAGCTAAATCTGCTATTTTGAGAATTTATAATAGTTTTTGAAAATTTATGTTTTATTTTAAAAATCAAATAGAATAAAATTCCTGAGCATAGATGTGCACAAGGCTAGGAAGGAGGACAGCCTAATGCTTTTTAGTAGTTCTAAGACTAATGTGATTGAATGAGGAGAAGAGTTAGATGAAAGTCCAAAGATTTGATGTATCTCTCTTTTGAGAAATGTTCATTCCTGTAGTGTTTAAGACCAGGATAAATTTAGTATGATATGCTTTAGTGTCACTGTATTACAGACATATTCCACCATTCTTCTGCTCTACCCTCCAGTTCATTTGCAAACACTGTTGAAGAATTGAAAATACTTTTAATTGCTCATGGACAGTAATTCTCAAATGCAGTGGGTAACAGAGGGGAGGCATAGAGTTTGAGAAAGTCACTTAGGTGTCTGATTTGCTTTCTTGAAGGGGTACCAATTCAAAGTCAATGCCCATCCATTCTTCCTATGATGCTTTTCCTTCCCGTTTTATTGTAATGAGTGTGGGTCACTAGAGCTTCTTATTTCTCTGTGTATGTACACTAATATGCATTGCACAGTACTATGTTATTATAGCTCACGGTTGCCATAAAACCTTACAGTTGGAGCATGTGATTCTAATATGTGTGAATTTTAGTTCCCATGATATATTGAGAGCAAGAACTGCATGTACATACAGCAATTTACATTTAGAGTAGTGTGAAAATAAAACTTCTTCAAATATATTAAGGCTAGAGGTTATGTATTAACAAGTCTTTCCTGTTAATGTTGGAAAATAAGAGTACAGTATTTATATTGTTTACTTTTGTGTGAGTATATGTTTGGGTATGAGAGAGAGAGAGGTGTACCCTAAAAGACTTTGAAATGTAAGTTAAAATGTGTTGTAGCTATCTGTTAATTAATTCTTTTGGTAAATATTGAGATTCTTCTCTGAGCCAGCCAGTCTCGGTTCTAGGAGCTTGGGATACATAGAATGATGGACTGACATTCAAAAACTCAAGCATTTTAGGGTACTTAGTGGTACTACATAAATTATTGGTTGAAGGAGTCAGTGGATTATAATGATAGGAAAAGAAAGATTAAGGCGTGTTTGCATTGGTATAGTGCAGTGAGTCTAGAAGCAATGTGAGAACCCCTGGGGTTGGGGGCATGTTCCCTGAAATCCTTTCAGGAGATCTATTAGGTAAAATCTATTCCCATGATAATATTGAATATTATTTGCCCTTTCTACCGTGTTAACATTTGCACTGATCTGCAAAAACAGTGGTGGTTAAAACTGCTGGGGACCTAAGCATAAAGCAAAGCAGTGTACCAAGTTACTAGTGGTCATTCTGTTCTTCAGGACTATCCACTTACAGTAAAAAGAATACTTGTTCACCTAACACTATTCTGGATAAAGTGTTTTTTGTTTTTGTTTTTTCCGGGGGGAGGGGGAGTGGTCCTGGGAATTGAATTCAGGGTGTTGCACATCCTAGACAGATATTCTACCATTGAGCTATTAGGTGCAATTCAAAATTATTACTTATTATTAATCTTAATTCTTAAGTACATGTGTTTTTAATACCTTGTGTGATGAAATGGGTAGTACACATAAAGCACTTTTCTGGGAAGACAAATATGGTTGTCTTAGAGAAAAGCATGTGTCCCCTACATGATTTGGTTTCCAGCTGAACTAGCCATATTTTTCTTAGGATATCTGACACACTTTGGGTGCCAGTGATTAAAAAAACTTCAAAGTGAAAACTACAATTTTAGAAAACACGAATCTGCCACTATGAGTGTGACAGCCCCTTTCTGTTAGAATTTTCTAATGAGACTGATGGTAGTTTTAACATACAGTTTGTAAAAAAAAAAAAAAAGAAAAAGAAAAAAAATTCATGGAGTGAAATGTGTCAACATTTGGAGATCTACATAACTCAGTGAATAAACATTTTCTAGATGAGCAATTTATAATGTTACAAAATTATGCCTTGTGTAAAATGACCCATTCAAACTGCAAGGTTAGAATAAAGAATTTTAATGTATAAATGGTCACTGGTATGGTTTTAGATTACACATCAGTATTATAATCAACTGCACTTTTGGAATTAGGTATAGTATTGAAGAATACTCACAGATTTGAAAAGGATACCAAAATATAATTTTTACCAATTATATGTCTTTATGAGCCTGGATTTTCTTTATAAATTTCAACAAAGTGACATATTGCAAAATATTGAATATAGAAGCCAATGAGATAGTTCATCTGTCTTCTATTAAGAAATTAAAGATATTTGTAAAAAATGCACAATAATACCACTCATCTCCCCAGTTTTTTGTTTGTTTTGTTTTTTCATTCTGGAAAACAGTTATTTTTAATGAAGATAATATTTTTTTCACTAACATGATGGATTAATTTTGGTTATTTTAAATGAGTTAATATTTTTAAATATCTCTAGAATCATGTAAATATGATAATAATGTAATCTTCATTAAAAACAAGCTCTCTTTTGCCAGTTTTCTTCCAAATAGGAAGATTTATTAGAGAAATCAAATTGGAGACTCTTTAAACTACTAAGAAAATTACATAGGATGGTTTAAGTTTGCTGACACCACAGCTTTCAGCTACTTGAGCCTTTCTTTCAGCTACTTAAGTCTTTCTGATCCTAGTCAGTGTTGGAGGAAAATTATTGCCCCAATTCCCACCCCACTTAAATACTGTGTACTGAGTTCCTTTATGCATTATATTATGATCTAGCTTACCCCAAAGATTGTCTACAGGTATTTAATCAATGTCTTGTACTAATTTTATAGGCCTCCTACTTTGTACTATCCTGGCACTTTTAGCTGATTATAATGAAATTTAAAGGATTAATTTGGAGGTAGGAAATCAATGCTTTTCCCCCCCCTTTTTTAAGTTTCTAGAAGATAGTTTACTTTCTTTCAACATATTGTGTTTATTAACAATTTATATTAGTTAGTGGTTAGTGTTCCAGCATTTATTTCATCTTTTATGATGTGGTCTTGCATGTGCTAAGTGATATTTGTATTTAAATCAGACTTGTTAGAGTTTTATTTAACAGCTGATTTCAAATTTCAAAAATCTTGATTAGATTTTATGTAGTACTAAATCCTACAAGAGACCCCAGTGCCTCTGATATGATCAATCAGATAGACTGATACTTGAAAAACAAACAAAAACCTGCCGAAAACTTTGCAACCGTGTGTTTTCTATTTTTTAAGCCAACTTTGATGCTTGCGATTTGAATAGATTTATAATATTTATCATGAATATGTTTTATTGTCTATAGTAATGTTTTGGGAACTTTAACAAGCTTTCAAATTACCTCTGTATCAAAGTGCAGATTGTGATTCTGTAGGTTTAGGGTGGATGCAGAGATGCTGTATTTCTAACAAGCTTACAGGTAATGTGATCTATTGGTCTACCGGACTACATGTTAAGTAACAAGAGTTTAGAGAATACTGTAGATATAAAAGTGAATAATAATTGTCTACAGAACCAAAGGGTTTTACAGATGAGTCAGAATGTGTTTTTATAAGAATTTATGAATTCTGAGAAAAATACTATATGATTATAACATGTTAACTGCTTTAAAATGTGCATATTTGGTTATTTACCTTGATTTCTTTCACTGTTTGCCAAAATAGGAGTGAAAATTATACTTCTTCACTCTTTTCTAATTTTAATGATTTTTTTTTTTTTTTTTAAATTTCTGAACTCAATTTAGCCTAGTAAGAAAATTTTCTCATTTCTGTCTTCTCGGTTTTTTATAGAAACATTCAGACCTGTATTAGAAAAGTTGAGAGTAGTTCAGTTAACAACCATACACTTGTTAACATTTTGCCATTTTTGCTTTGCTGTACTTCTCTGTCTCCACCCTCTCCCCTCCTTTGATTTTTCCTTCCTTAGTCCTATAGGCATGCTGCTTGTAAATCTGCATTAATGCAAAAGGATCCTTTCAGTGTGTGGAATTTTTCAAAAGGGTGTTAGTGTGATTTGAAAATTTAGTGATATCAGGTGAGGATATCCAGCTCTTTGAAATGCCTAGTTCTGTCTATAATGTAAATGTAGTTTGTTACTCTATTGGGGTGGGGGGATTAAAAAAAAAAAACCCTTGGTTTTTTTCTTTCTTTCCTGGTAAAATGGTGCTGATTTGTTTTTAAAAAGAGCAGATATCATTTTGAATTTATTAAGGTCAAGAGCTCACATTTGCTAAGCAAATGAGGATAGTACTAATATGCTAAACTCCCCTGAATGTTGGGAATACCACAAGTTAGATATGCCAGACCATCCTGTTGTGCTTAAACAGACACTGCTGCTGGTTCTGGCTGTTCTTGAGAGTGCTCATATGACTGACCACACCTGATTTCTGATGGACAGTTTTTTTGCTATGCCAGAACCCACTTGTCTTAGTGAAAAAATGTATCATATCTTTGTTTCTATTCTCTGTTGATGACATAGGTGTGAGGTAGCTTTCCATGTTCTTCAGTGTAGTTTATGGCTTCTCTCTTGCTTCTACACTGCTTGTGCTTTCCAGCAATAAATATTTGTGGTTGTTTTAGAGTATCCCTCAATAGTATGTTGTTTTAGTTATCTATTACTGTTTGACAGACTACAGGTTGAAAATTCCTTGTCCAAAAAGCTTGGAACAAGAATTCTTTCAGATATTGGGTTTTTGTTTTGTTTTTTGGAATATTTGTGTAGACATTACAATTTGAGCATTGCTAATCCAAGAAATCCAAAATATGCCAAAATCT